GCTGGTAATCTTTTTACACATAAGTGAGAATATAATCTGATGTTTGATATGTACATTGGCTATTTTGGTACACGTTTCCTTAATTTGAATGATGTTCAGTGTTTACTTGAATGATGTTGATGGAGATAGTAGACAGATTTTTAAAATCACAAGTATTTGAAGCATTGCATAGTGAAAAGACTAGCTTACTTAAAAAAAAAAAAAAAAGACCAAGTAAAAATTAATTCCAAGTGATCAGGTATACCTGAGTGCCAATTTCTGCCTCTTCATAAATTTTTAGGTATGTTATTTTCAGATTAAAAAATGTTGCAATTCCATTTCATAATATAAATGTAGTAGAGTGCCATGTTGTATAGTCTGCCTTTTCACATAAATGTTTATTGATAAGTAACCTTGCATTATTGGTTGCATTATTTCTTGCTTTATTAAAAACTTACCATGTGGCAAATTGACGTGCATTTTTAATTTCTGTATGTTGGCATTAGATTTTTTTTCTAATCTAGAGCTAAATATTTATATAGGGCTGTCTTTTTTAAAGAAAAGGAGGGTTTTTGAACAGTAATGCTATTTGACTAAATAATTAACTTTTAAATGATATGTATATATTAGAGTAAGTTTCAAGAGGAGATTGTTCTCTTGTTTTTTTTTTTTTTTAAATACTTTGGCATTATGTAAGTTTCTGCTCTGTAGGGCTAATATACATTTTACCAGTAGTAAAAAAAATTCAAATTTTCATTGCATTTTTTCTGTTCACCTTTTTTATAAGAGATAGCCAACAGTGCCACCATCAGAACAGACAGGCTTTTCTTATCATAAGTATTGGTTTTCTCAAAAAAAAAAGAAAGAAAACACCAAAAACCCCTACACTTAAGGAATGGTGGAAAACTGCATATGGTTAAACAGGCACATAAAACATATTGTGAAATCCCAATGACATAATGAAACTGCCTTTGATTTATTTTATGATCAAGTCAAATTCATAAAATTATTCTTCAGAAACCTGTTTCTACTTTGGATACTTATGTTTTGCCAGACCATTCGGTCTAGGCAGCATTATATTGATGTCAATTTATTGTTTTCATCTTTAATTTGTTGTTCAAAGAGACAGTCTCAAAGAATATAAAAACATGAAAATGATCAGACCATCTTGGTCTGATAACATCTTACCTAGTGTACATTTTGAGGGCAGTATTTTCATTCTGATTTTCCTATATATTTGATTCATTTTTTTAAATAATGAGACTTTAAAAGTAAGCTGCCAAGTTAACAGTTATGATGATTTCAGAATCTATCTTAAAGCATAAATTTTTTCTTGCATGGTCTGATACTTACATGATGCAGTATATTTATTTTTGACTGAAAAGAAACCTGGTCCCCATCTTCCTGTTGACATCAAACAGTCTTCTGATATGCTAATCCAGCATCAGGGAGAGCACATAGACAAGCTTTATTTGGACTCATTCCAAATCTGAAAGAAAATTATATGTATTGAACTGATTTTGCAGCATTGCCCCCTTAGAATGAAAAGTGATGTTGACACAGTCTTTAATTAAAAATACTTAATATTGAGACATGATATGGGAGGTTTTCAACATTTTAGTAATACCCTGATTTGCTTTTCAATTACCTGGTCATCTAATTGTTATTGGCTTTTTGCTACTGATGTTAATAGCCATTGAAATTACTAAGTTCATTTCCTTAGCATGTGTTATAATAAACATTAACCTAAAGTTATTAGCTTTTCCTTAAAGATTTATCCTTTGACATATTGAGTGCATATGAGACAGTAGATAATAATCTTTTGCTAAGTATGAAGTAGGGATATGAGCAGATCTCCCTGTATTGTTTTTCCTTCCAGCCTGCCCTCAACTGGTCACAAGGGTAAAAATTGACAAAGATACTTGTTTTAGAGTTAATCTGAATGATATATTCAATAACAAATCAGTTGAACTTCCAAAAATGTTTTCAGATAAAATGCACTACAGTACACATTTAAATACTGGTATCTGTTAAAACCTATATTAAAATTATCAGAAAATTCCAAGAAAACTTGTTTAAATGTAGTATTCATGTTGGTCATTTATAAATATTGTTAAGTAGGAAGCCAGTTGCATTTTTGTTTTAGAAATATAATTTTTATATAATGAATCTTGGTGAATCTTAGGAAATGAAGAACTTTGTTTTTAAATGAGTATGTTATTAGTACATTCTTCTAGCAAGTGTAATATAAAAAATGGGCATAAATAATCTACCTCTGATTTCGCAGTTATTTTGGCTATTGCCCTCTTATGCGTGATGGCCCATTCTTTCCCAACTAGTCTGTTGGTGCTCCATTTTTGCCCTGACCTTCCTATGATGTTTTTCTTCCATGAAGTTTAGTTTCATTCATTCAAAGTACAGGTTTGACTTGTAATGTGCAATAGTCATGAAATATTCATGAAAACTTTTTATATAAATCTCTTTTATTTAATTTTTAATAAATTAACTGATATTTCAAATCACCAAGGTGGTTCAATATTTAAAAGGAATTCTATAGTCAAACTTAATGTCAGGAGAAGAATTGTCTTTTAATGAACATAATTACCTTCAGGTTTCTAGACTGTTTTGTTCTGGGTTTTCTTAAAATGAAATTTGACATCGTCCTCTTAGGCTAGGAAATTATTTTATATAGATGTTAATTTTTTGAAATATTGGACATCATAAAGATGTAGCATTATATGGCCTGTGCTAACTTTAGATACAATAGTGAGAAATTTAAGCTAATATGTCAGGTAAAATTCTCGGAATCATCTCACTGTGGGAAGTCATATGCTTTTTAGTTGGTAATAGGTAGATAAAAGTAGGTGTTTTTCTGACAAGGCATTTGGTGTGTCAGGATCTGGTCTTAAGATATTTTAATTCCTCTAATTCTTATTTTTAATTTTTTAAAAAGCATTTTAAGAAACAAAAGAGGCTAATTCCTGAAAGGACTGTTTGGAAGTACTTTGTTCAACTCTGCAGTGCATTGGAACATATGCATTCTCGACGCGTCATGCATAGAGGTAGGGTAAAATCACGAATAGGTTTTAATGTTGTTTAAACGATGCAGGTTATTAGGCAATTTAAGAATAAATGCCTTCCAATCATGGGCATAGCATCATGCTTTCTTGGCTGATTTTTTTCCAAATTATAATTTACTAGAATGAAAAACCTCTAAAGCCCTATCTTGGTTTTAAATAAGAATGAGAATTAGTTATTTTTCTGCCTGCCTCTTCTGAGCATCTTACTGATGATGTTGGTAAATTAAAAAAAAAAAAAAAAAGATGTAGGAAAGCAGAATACGCATAAGGAAGATTCCCTTATCAGATGAACAATGTATATATTATGGCCAACTTCATTTTTTAATTTTCAGCATTAGCTCTTAATGTATTCTTGATTGTCAGTCTAATGGTTGGACAGAACATGTAAAGATTACAACACTTAGGGATTGTATCTCTGATTTGGGGTATGAGAAATTTCAATGTAGTTTATTTAAGCAATTATGACTTCTAAGGTCATCTAGTTATGTTCAGATTAGAGTTATAATTTTATATTTTATGTAAATGTATCAACAAAGTAATGTTTAGTAAGATATTTAACATTGATATAAAATGGAAATAAATTTATTTTGTGCTTTGAATTTCACAAAAGTTGATTTGAAAATGGAAAACAAAATGCATTTTATTATTTTTTAATTTAATTTTTCTTTAACATTTATTTATTTTTGAGAGAAACAGTGACAGAGTGCAAGCTGGGGAGGGGCAGAGAGGGAGAGACACAGCATCTGAAGCAGGCTCCAGGCTTAGAGCTGTCAGCAGAGAGCCTGACGCGGAACTTGAACTCACGGACCATGAGATCATGACCCGAGCCGAAGTCGGACGCTTAACCGACTGAGCCAACCAGGCGTCCCAACAAAATGCATTTTAAATGAAAATTACTAGCAATCTTCATGGTGCTGCATTGATGATTATTTCTCTATCAGAGAACTCAGAAATAATAGGATATATCAGAAATATTAGGATATATCAAAATTATTGAAAATAAAGTAATTGGATCAAAATTCAAACTGACTTTCGTTTTTAAGGTAGATTTTAAATTCTATGAAAAGTGTTTTAATCTCTTGAAAATACCTAAGCTTATATCATCTTTCACCTGATTCCTTCATCTCTTCACAGATATAAAACCAGCTAATGTGTTCATTACAGCCACTGGAGTGGTCAAACTTGGAGATCTTGGGCTTGGTCGGTTTTTCAGCTCTAAAACCACAGCTGCACATTCTTTAGGTAAGAGACACAGTGTAATTTCATTCAGTTATTGTGTGTGTGTGTGTATGTGTGTGTGTGTGTGTGTGTGTGTGTGTGTCTGTGTGTGTGTGTGGTTAAAAACAACATAAGGGACATACTATTTATATGCCAGCTCTTACGTTCTAAATAAAACTATTTTTAAAATCATCGGATCCTCAGTAGATCCCTACAGCTCTCTATCAGGTATAATGTGCTCATTCACATGACAGTTGGGTACTTCTATTGATTTGACTCCAGGTAGACACTTGGTAAAAGAAAATGCTAATAAACAAACCTGGTTTTAACAATTGCCATAGAGCATTTGTTTTATTCTCCATTTAACAATATTGAAATAATATGATTTAACCATATCTTGGAAGAGGACTTCACCTGACTGTCAAAATACCGTAATTTGTAAATGTTTAGTTATTAAAATAACACACATAGTTGTGATTACTGCAGAGAGGAAACCTAAACATGATCTATTACTAACAAGGAAAATATTCCCCTAAATAATATAGTAAAAGATATCTGCTGTTTATTCATTCTAGAGTTAATAATATGGCATTGTCCTTTATATCTAAAATAGAATGAATGTAGCTATTACAACATTGTAGTAGCAATGGAAAGACAGTTGTCTACTTTAGAAACAATAGAAATTACTAGGAAGAAATAATTTCTAAGAAATAATTCTTAAACCAAATAACCTAAAGAGAGTGACAGAGCTTCTCTTAAAACTCTTCAAATTACATTTTGTCCTTGTTAATATAAGACTTAGATAACATAGTAACAACCAGACTAAAATAAGAATTAAGATAAAAATAAGATGACTTTAATTTAATTGTACCCCATCTCTGGCGTCATAATTTCAACAAAAACCATTAAATTTTTGTATAAAATTGTGTGTAAATATGAAATAAAAACTTTAAAACGGCCTGATGAAGAATAGGTGAGTTACACTAAGCACAGTATTGAAACAAGCATCTGAATTAGTTGACTAGACCTTTTAAAGTTTTTCTGTCTTTGTTAGCAAGATTCTGTGTGAACTTGAACTTGTTATTTTAAATTTTTATGTCTAGACCAGTACCTGGCACATAAGTAGGCACCCAGTCACTAGTTGCTGAATGACAAAATGTTGGATTCTAAGCTATAAAGAGTGGTAGAAAGATAATACTTTATCCTTTTCCCAGAGTTTTAGTTTTGTCAAGTACTTTAAGAAAATAAAGTTTCAACTGATATTGAGTAATACTGTTTTATTCCCTTTCACTTTACTTTTATTTTTATAGAGGATTACAGGTTTTCCTGATAAGAAAATTTGATATGAGATTCTATAAGAAATACATAAATCTGAGTAGGACTTTGATAAAGTTTTATTTGGAAGTTACAACAATTACAATGCAAAGAATAGATTTCTGTGAAGAAAACATCATTCCATGTCAATGTCCTTTCTCACTAGTAAAAATAACAAACATGTTTTCACTTTGTTACTCACCTGAGTAACAAATGTCTTAAGAGCATTCTGTCATTTGTTTACTTAGAAATGCTACGTGCGCGCGCGCACACACACACACACACACACACACACACACACACACACACACCCCTGTACATACCCATGCTCGTGCACGCATTTCTTTTTTAAATGCAGCTTTGCAGACTGTCACTCTGAGCATGCTGTAGTCACCTGACCCTTTGGAGCCAGTATATGAAACTCCAATCTTACCAGTTTTGGAAATGGTCTTCTTTAGCTTGCCTGCCACTGCCTCATACAAAAGTTCCCAACAGGGCTTACAAAATGCACCTTCAAGCGTAGGCGATGTGCTAGTCCAGATTATGTGATATGGAGACTAAACTCATTAAGAAAGTATTACCAGGTTTTATCTAAATCAGTTTACTTAAGGTCGTGTAGTTTTATGTAAAAATGCAGGCATATATGTGTGTATGTGTAAAATACATGGGGATGCACATAATTACATAACATTCTAAGACACAGCCTGTAGTACAGCCAGTGAGGAGGTAACAATGAGATCATTTCTTTGATGAATGAATTAGAAGAAAAAGAATTTCTTTCACAAGCATTTTTTCTCATATTGAGAAAAAAATACTTTTTTTAAAAAATATTTTTTTAATGTTTATTTTTGTGAGAGAGAGAGAAAAAGAGAATGAGCAGGGGAGGGGCAGAGAGAGAGAGGGACAGAGGATCTCAAGCAAGCTCGGTGCTGACAGCAGTGAGCCCGATGTGGGGCTCGAACCCACGAACTGCTAGATCATGACCTGAGCCCAAGTCACTTTACCAGCTGAGCCACCCAGGCTCCCCTCTCACATTTTCTGTGGCAGATAAAGTTATATAGGTAGTCAGATTTTGAATCCGTATTCAGTACTCTTTTTTTTTTTAATCAAAAGTATGTCAACATAGAATATTGGATAATATACATAGATAATTTCTTGGATCAGGCTTAAAAATTACAAGTACAAAATACCATGTTGCTGGATGTACAAACCATATTCAAATCCTCAAAATTGAAAACAATTCTCAGAAACTTTCACTTTTTCTTCTACTCCCTCACTGCTCCCACCACATACATTGAATCAAATATCTCTTTTCTATTCCCTCTTCCTTAATCCATAGTGACTTCATGTTTAAACTAGGAAAATATTCTTCCTTATTTCTAATATTAAAAAATAAAAAATGAAAAATAACTCTGTGTATTCTCGGCAGAGTTATCTTCCTAAAAGAGATTATCTGATTTTGTCACTGTCCCCCAAATCCTTGATGGTTCCCAGTTGCCTAAAGAATATCATGCAAAGTCCTTAGCTTAGTAGTCAGGGTCCTTTCGTGTTTGGTGTCCTCTATAACTTTCCATTCTTATCATTGACTACACATCCCTACCTCATTATATGCCAGCCTTGTTTTTCCTCTTGCTTTGTTCTGAATGTGAGAAATAGCATGGTGTTTTGGAAAGAATAGAGGACATCTGAACTGACATGTCCATTGTTCTGCAGGACCTTGATCAAACCTTCTATTAACTTTCTAAGGCTCAGTTTCTAAATTTATAAAACTGGAAATGTAGGTAATAACTATTCTATGCTGTGCCTTAATCTCTACCCAATCCCTAACCTAATAATGCAATGAACATAAAGGTGTTTTCATTCACTGTAATGTGCCATTAAGTTGCTTATGTTAACACAGTGGTGGTGGTGATGAAGATGTAGAGAAAGAAGAGGGAGAGAGAAGGAATTCATGCACAGTTTATTATTCTGTTAAAATACCTGAATTGATTCATTTAAAAGACAGTTTTAGTACCTTCTTTATGCATGTTCTATTCTAGGGGCCAGGAACAAGCCTAAACAAGACAAAGTCATCTTCATAGATCATATCTTGTGGTGAGAGGGAATAGATAATCATTTTACGTCTTTGTTTTTTTGTTAGCCATGTGACAGGGCATGACTAGGAGGGGAATTATTTTAGAAGGGACATGGTCAGACAAAGCCTCAGTGAGGGCAGTGTTTGAACTGAGATCACAATGCAGAAGAACCAGCTACCTGGGACCTGGGGAAGAAGGTCTCAGGCTGACTGAAGAACAGTTTACGCAAAGGGACAAAGGCAGGATACTCTCTAAGCTCAATCTGGAGAAAGTTTGCTGGCGGAGGGTGAAGGAAGGGTCTTGGCCAGATTTGAGAAGAGTTCACATCTCATTCCTGGTGCAGTGGCAAGCTTTTGGAATTTTGTAGTAGGAGAGTAACATGAGGGGCCCTGAAGACTGTAACCATGAACTTGTTTCGTCGTCTTCAGGATAATCTTGGCCAGTATTGTCTGCTGTTTTCAGGTTCTTCTTTGTCCTGGTGGTTGCCTTCCTTTGTCTCTGAGTGCCTCTTAGGATGTGCTGCCCAAAACTGAGCAGCGATACCATGAGATACACATGAGCTCATCAGCCCATAGAACAGGAAGTGTGTCACTGCCTATAATCTGTGATCTAGACAATTCTTTTGTTTTTGTCCCCTTCCTCCTTTTGTTATTGTACATGAATTTATGGGAAGTCAGATCTTCATTTAGTGCTTCTGTATTGATTTGGACAGAGGGTGTTGCTAGGGAGACTAATTGTAGGATTATATATATCCCTGTGAATCTTGACGGGTTTTTTTTTTTTTTCATATTATCAACCTTATAAATGTTACAGGTGTTAGAAAATCTGTTATATATATATGTCTACATCTTAAAATTTAAATGAGGACAAATCTCTCTCCCTTGAATCAAGCTTCTTGACAGTCTAGATAAATGGCTTTAGAATTTCTTTACAATGACCCCAGCAACATTGTGACCCCATAGGAACATTACCATATATAATTGAAGCAAAAGTTTCATGTGACAGTGTTTTACATTACAACTATAATGCATTCTGATATTGTCCTGTTTTATTTTATTGAAAATAATGCTAGCTGCAACCTACTAAATTGGTTTTACAACTTATTAATTAGTAATGACCTGCAATTTGGAAAACACTGGTCTGTGTTTACAGTGCTTTTATGCTGTTCCATTTACTTAAAGACAGATTCCGATTTTTCTACCTACTCTTAGATATTCTCCTGAATTAGTCATTTACAGTGTTCGCTGTGTTTCTGGAGGTGGGTAATAACATGTATGGTATCTCTGTACAATTTGCAAATCATTCCATTCCCTAAGATCCTTACACATATATGTGAGCTATAGATATGGATTATTCCCATTCCAGAATCAAAGAAATGGAAGCACAGAGAGATAAGTGGACTGTATAGCTAGAAGATAGTGAGTGGCCTATGGCTTCCTAACTGTGGGCTTACTCTCCCAACAGTTTATTTTTTTCACCATATCGGTACCTGGTGGCATTTTCTCCTACTCTATTAGTGTTTTCTTATTTGTTGTTGTTTATTTCCATCTGCAATTGCCTTAGTCTGCTCTGTACATTGCATAGGAACCCACATATGAAAGCATAATTTGCTCTCTCTCCTGGATGTCACTGCTC